CAGGAGTTCGAGACCAGGCTGGGCAACATGGTGAAACCCCGTCTCTACTAAAATGCAAAAAATTAGGCGTGGTGGCGGGCGCCTGTAATCCCAGCTACTCTGGAGGCTGAGGCACGAGAATCGCTTGAGTCCGGGCGGTGGAGTTTGCATTGAGCCAAGACTGTGCCATTGCACTCCAGCCTGGGCGACAGAGCGAGAGACAGTCTCAAAAGAATGGGAAGGAAACCACTCTCAGAAGTGTCATGAGAACAGGTTTGACCTCGGGGACCCCGGAAGGTTTCTGGATCCCCTTTGAGAAGCGTGGTCTGGACACAGCCGTCAGATGCCTGTTGTGGGGTCTTTACCAACCTTGCTTTGCTGCATTCATTCATTCAGAGACGGAGTCTCGCTCTGTCGCCCAGACTGGAGTGCAGTGGTACGATCTCGGCTCACTGCAACCTCCACCTCCTGGGGTTCAAGCGATTCTCCTGCCTCAGCCTCCCGAGTAGCTGGGATGACAGACGCCCGCCACCACGCCCGGCTAATTTTTTGTATCTTTATTAGAGATGGGATTTCACCATGTTGGCCAGGCTGGTCTTGAACTCCTGACCTCAAGTGATCCACCTGCCTCGGCCTCCCGAAGTGCTGGAATTACAGGTGTGAAGCGCCGTGCCTGGCCCTGCTTTGCTGGTTTTAAATGTTTTTGTTGAAAACGAGGATCAGACATACGTTATTACAGTTTTCAGAGTAGAAACCAGCTTGAGAAAATCCTATTTATGAGCACAGTCACTCTGGGAGGCGAGACTCCTTCGTCCAGGGTCACTGAGGTCTGGATTGTTGGAGAATTATTCACAGAAACCCCAGAAGCAGCTGAGGAGACGTGGGGCTGAGATGGGGGCCTGCGCGCGCAGCCAGGCTGTGCAGAAACTCGCAGTGTGGCACGTGGCCGCCGGGGCTCAACCAGGCCCGTCTCTTCCCTTTTGGCGTCTGTGGAAAATGCCGGGCTGATGTCATTATGGGTGACTCCTGCGACCCTAAAAAGTTTTTTTTTGAGACAGAGTCTTGCTCTGTCACCCAGGCTGGAATGCAGTGGTATGATCTTGGCTCACTGCAACCTCTGCCTCCTGGGTTCAAGCAATTCTTCTGCCTCAGCCTCCCGAGTAGCTGGGATGACAGGTGCCCACCACCACGCCCAGCTAATTTTTGTATTTTTAGTAGAGATGGGGTTTCTCCATGTTGGCCAGGCTGGTCTCGAACTTCTGACCTCAAGTGATCCGTCTGCCTCAGCCTCCCAAAGTGCTGGCATTACAGGTGTGAGCCACCGCGCCCAGCCAAAAAATATATTGTTTTGAGACAGGGCCTCCCTTAGTCACCCAGGCTGGAGTGCATTGGTGCGATCCTAGCTCACTTCAGCCTTGACCTCTCCTGGGCTCTAGTGATCCTCCTGCCCCAGTCTCCTGAGACCACAGGTGGGTACCACCATGCCTGGCTAATGTTTAAAAGTTTTTAATTTTTTTTGATAGAGACGAGGTCTCATTGTGTTGCCTAGGGTTGTCTCAAACTTCTGGTCTCAAATGATCCTCCTGCCTTGGCCTCCCAAAGTGCTGGGATGACAGGAATCTTAGTACTTTAAGCAAATAACAGGTTTTCTTTTGGGCAGCTGTGGGTTTTCAGAAATACCGAGGAGACAGTGCTGAGCCCCCGTCTGTACCCTCCCTCCCTGCAGGGTCCCATGGAGGTAACGCCCCACACCGGCACGAACCAGAATGGACACGGTTCAGCAGAGTCCTTGGCCTTCACTGAGGGGCCTTTCCCCATCCCGGGACGGTTCCCGTCCAGCTGCCTGAGCTCCCACTGGGCTGTGGCCATTGCTCGGACTTCCCTTAGTTCTGGTGGTCTGGGCAGTTTTGAGGAGGGAGGTCAGGATTTCCTAGAAGGTCCCTCAAGCAGGGCTTGCCATGCATTTCTTGAGGCTAGAAGGGACCCGTCGCCTTCCCTGTAGGCACCCATGTCCCTCCCCTGGCACTGGGAGGAGGTGAGGGGAACCCAGAGAAGAGGTCACGTAGGGTCAGGCCTGGAAGCCGACAAGGAACGGGGCCGGGGAGGCCTGGTGCCTTTTGGGGGGTGCGGGGGTCCCAGGACAGAGCTGAGCACCAGGAGGGGTGCAGAAGGCCGCCCCCTCCACACCTGCTGTGCCCCATTTGTTGTGGGTGGGGGTAGGGGTGGGAACACCTGGGCAGCCCCCTCCCCCGGCCTGGGATGACCTGCTGTCCACAGGGGCAGAGGCTCTGCTTTCCATGGGGGGCTGTGGGTCTCTGGTGGCTGGACTCGGCCGAGGGTCCAGGTGTCCTCTTGGCCTCTCTGCACAGGCCTCAGCCCCCATCAGGCACCCCCTGCCCCCAGCCGGCCTCGTCCCCTACAGCAGGGCTTACCCCTCCAGGCGATCTCACGGGAATGCACATTCAGGTCTCCTTTGCCTGAAACCTGCTCTGGCTTTTCTGAAGGCTGCTTCTTGGTGACTGGGGGCTCCTCCGGGCCATTCCTTAGATCCCTTGAGGCTATTCGGGGCCATCCCCAGCCTCAGGCGGCTACGTTACAGCTCAGGGAGCCCGGGGATGGAGGACCCGGTTCTGCTGCTGAAGACTCAGAGTCACCTGGCAAGATAGAACGAGAGGGGGAGGGTGGCTGGCACTGGGGCTCTGTCTACTGCCTCTCGCCTTGGAGGACGCTCTGGCCAAGGCCGGGAGGGGCGGGCGTGGCTGCAGGTGTACTGTGGTGGGGGAGGGTGAGCATCTGACCAGGAGGCGAGGAGGAGGCGCTGGCAAGACGCAACGCTTTGGCTTCACTGTTGGCCGTCCCCTTGCTGCCCACCGTCGCCCGCCAGGCCCACACCTCCCTGCTCCTGGCGACAGATGGTGTGTGAAAAGCCGTTTCCTCCCCTAGAAAAAGCACATTTGGTTCCGTTCTCCACTGACACATCTTCAGCTGAGTGACGATGGAGGCTCCTGGCTTTTAACAGACGTTCTTAATGAGCCTCCGCTCCCTGACGACCAGCAGACGCGGGCTGACCGGCGGTTTTACACACCCCATCTGCATGGCGGCGGCTGGGCGGCCCCGCGCGGCCCAGGCAGGAGGTGACGGCAGCGTTTCTCATCCCCTCTCTCCTGTCGACTTGCAGATTCCTGCAGACCCTCAGCCTGTCTGCGGCCCCTCGCCCGCGGC